GGAGTTTCACCAAAGCAAAGATTTCAGGATTTGGCCCTTAATAAGTAAAATTAAAAATCAGAAAACATTGAGAAGGGAAGTCTGAAAATAACATCTAGCCTTTTTCTTCACATTTGTTCTTAGTTAAGGAGACAGGCATTTGTTGCTTTAAATGCTAAGCCTGCAGAAGCACATGTTCCACAAAGAGTGGCTATTTCCATGAGTAGATTTATCTATATTCTTTCAGGATCAGGACCATAAACATTTCTCCACTTTGGTATTTATTTCTTATGAACTCAGTGGCAGGACACTAGCTGACAGATATACAGTAGTGCATTGCATCTAAGTGTCACAAACAATACTTTGTTGTCACATAGTGATTTAGCATAAATCAACCTATCTTACTGCATAGCTGTTTGAATTATTTGTTTTCTTAGAAACAGCCAGAAATGTCAAAAGATTTCTAATCCAAACCTAGATATTATTTAAAATAGCAAAACCCACAAAAACAAACAGAGAATGTGTGGTATCCCCATGCTGTAGCTTGAAAACTCCCACAGCTTGGGCATGATCCTGTTAATATTTACAGAAATAACACTCCATTTGCTTGTTTATTTGAAAATAAAACATTTAAACTGCCATTGCACAGAATGTTAATAGTTAAGGGCAAGCACACATCAAAAATCAGTCATTTTAGTTCAAACCATGTAAAAACAAATGTTACAGGGGTGGTGTTTGTAGCCGTGTTGGTCTAAGGACATAGGCAGAAAAGGTTCTTTGGATGAATCTGATATCTTTTATTAGACCAACTTAAATAGTTGGGGAAAAAAATATAAGCAAGGCTTTCGGCTTTAAAAACCCTTCATCAGGCTGAGAAAATGTCTGCAGTTGGTGCATGCTCTTCCTGGATGGAATGAAAAGTAAAGAAGCCAGAGGCTGGGCTGGTATGCATACAAGATAAGCAGTCAGTGAAGATATAAATTAAGGACTCAGTGGGTGAGAGACAGACTGGGTGTGGGGGTGAAGGGGGATGAAAAGTGGAGACGTACCTGGGTAGTCAGATGTCAGGCAGGTTATAATGTGTCTTAAATCCAATGTCTATACTGAGTCCATGATTTTTAGTATCCAGGAGGTTGATGAAGTGGAGTTCATAGGTTTGTCTCTGAGAAGTGTTTTGTAAATTTCCTTTGAGGATTAGAACTGAGAGATTGGAGAGAGAGTGGTTTTCTGTGAGAAATGTGCTCCCACAGGTAATTGGGTATTCTTGTCTTTTCAGGAATACCCCTTATCTCCCGTACCCAGCCTGTCTCTCGCCTCATAATGTTTATTCTTTGAACCTACATCATGAAAAATAAAAATGATCTAAACTTAGATGGCTTCCACTCTGAGGTCATCCCACTGGGCTAAGATGAAATAATTTTATATAAAAATGGATTCTATAATTAGCTTTGCAGACAAAATGAAATATCAAATTGATTCTCAAACAGAATACCAGAGATCTAAACAAAGGAGTGGCAATCCTTAAGGAGCAGAAGGCCAAAAACAGGCTGCTGCTTGCAACCTGGCTGGCTGAAGCTCCAAGCTGCCTGCTGCTGCCCCAGCCTTCCCTATGGAATGTCAAAGGCTGCTTTCATGCCCCAGTACTGCAGCCATGGCTTCTGCCATGCCTTACTCCTCACTACTGATTCCCCTCGCCACACACTGCCAGAAACTAAAAGTTCAGGGCATGAGAAGTGATGGCTGCAGTAAGGGAGTGAGCAGGGAGAACTGTGGTAGCAGCAAACAGTACTGGGGAAAAACTGGAGCAGGTGGTGAAGAGGAATGGACACGTGTGAGGGATCTGGGGGCACCCCCTGTAGGCCAGCACTGGTGCCCTCATTGCCCATCCCTGCTCGTACTACTGCCTTTCTACCTGGATGCACTTGCCTGGCAGGCCTGATCTAGCCCATGAGCTGTAGGTTCCCAACCTCTGATCATTGCTGTTTCACAAGTATAATTGGAGGAGTTCTTGGTTGAGAAGGGGTGAGAAGATATAAAACAGAGAACTTGTTCTATTTATGATGATTTTTTAAATTTCTTAAAATAAGCAGAAACTGGGAAATCACTTTCATGGTTTAAAAAAATCCATCAGGTCATTTTTAACCTATATTGAAGCTTTAGAAAAATCTTCATCTAAACCCAATAAAGTAAATATTTTGCCTTTGAAATAAGCTGGATGAATGTATGTATAACTTACTGTACTATGGCCATTTTTGTTTTAATCCTGCATCACTGAAAACACTGGGAGATTTGGTATTTAAGTGGACACATGTTAGGCACTTTAAAGTGATCAATGAGGCTGCTTTGCTCTAATATTTATAATCCCTGCATGCAAGGGAGAACACTTCTCTCAGTTCCAGCCAGGGTTTGAATTACATTGTGACTCTTTGTGGGGGTCTGCAAAAAAAATTGTGCTGACCATCAAAATGCCCTAATAAAATCCCGTAGAGTTCTGACACCTGCAGGTTATGGTTTTCAAATCTTACAGGGGGGCTCTCATCTCTTATGGGGAGGCTCAGCACCCCCCACCCTGAGCTCCCCTGTAATTCAAACCCTGGTCCCAACTGCCTCCATCAGAGCTAATGACACTGCTGCACTCTGTGATTCTCTTGCTACTAGGGGGAAGCTTGAAAAAGTGTGGGTTATTCTGGTATTTTCAGTATTTGTATATTGTTTTTAGAGGTTTATAATGACCACGGCATGAGAATGAGGCGATCTTCAAGTTTTCTTCTTTAGTGTTTTTTTAAACTGTCCTACAGTACACTATTCTTTCCAGGAGGGTTGATTGGCCATTGAACATTTACATGCAGTTTAATTATCCTTGGGCATCATCCATTGTCACTTCTCTCCACCATGGTATGGGAGAAGCATCTCCCATGGTATGGGAGAAGGATCAAGCCCAGGGGTGCACAATTATTTCAGGCAGAGGGCTGCTTACTGAGTTTTGGTAAGCTGTCGAGGGCTGCATAGGTAGCTCCGCCCCTTGACAGGTGCCTTGCCTCCTGGTCACCATCTTGTGACCAGAATTCCTGCCCCCTAACCTCTGACTTTTGCAACCAGAAGTTCCTCCCCTTGCCCCCATAATACTCCTTTCAACAAGGGGTTTTGCCATCTCGGAAACAGAAAAATACCAAATTATATTCTAAAAAATCAAACATCTACAACATTTATTAATTTGATTTTAAAAAATATTTTTGTCCTAATTTACATGTGTTTGTGTAGAGTACATATAGGTGATTGCACAATAGCTTACAATGAAGTCTGACTCTTGTATATTGTTGGGGAGGCATGGTGGGGTGGGTATAGGTTTGTGAGGAGCTGTGGGGGTATGTGAGGTGTGGGGAGTTTTGTTGCAGGGTGGATAGGTGTGGGGGTATGGGTATGTGTATGGCGTGAGGGAGCATGTGGATGTATGTATGGATATGTGGGGTGTGGGTGGGTATGGGGTTTGTGGGGGGCTGTTCATGGGGGAGGGGGCCTGCATGTATGACAGTGTGAAGGGGTATGGGTTCATGTGTATGGTGGAGTCTGCATGTGGGACTCAACCTATGAACACACACAAAAACATACACGCACTCCCTTCCTCATTACACACACACACACATGCATGCGCACACACACACACTCCTGCTCCTGGCCCTGGGGTACTGGCATGGGCCCTGTGCTCCTGAGGCCCAGGAATGCAGCTGGGGGCCATGTGGTGCTCAAACACCCGGCTGGTGTGCAGGGAAGCAGTAAAAGCTCCAGCAGGCAGAGGCTTCCAGTTGGCAGGGGTGGCAGTGGGAGGGGGCAGGAGTGGGGTGGGGCCAGGTTGGCCTTTCTGCTGGGTCCTGCTGGCTTCCCCTGGGTCCTACTGCTTCTGTCTCCTGTCACCTTTGATTTTCTAAATTTTTTAGGCACCAAGTGAGCCAAATAGAATGGCCTGGCAGGCCAGATTCAGCCCATGGGCTGGATTTTGCCCACCCCTGATCTAGCTCATTGGATCAATGGGCTGCATCAAATGGCTCCATGGGCCAGATCAGAGCCACAGCTCTTAGGATACTGACTCCTACTTCAAAGCATCTGAGAGGGGAGTACAGTTGTCATATTTGTCTTTGGCAAGACAAAATTTCTAAGTATATCAACAGGGCTGTCCCTGGGGTGGGGGGCATATCGGGGTGACCACCCCAGACCCCACACTTTGGGAGACCCCACAGTCAATGCCACATAGGCCCTGCTGTGGCCACCACGCACTGCCGCTGCAGAACACCACCGGCTCTGGCTGCTCACCACCCCCCTCTTCACCCCCCCGGGCCCTGAACAGGCTGATATGCCCTGGGCCTTGCACACCCCTAGGGATGGCTCTGTATATCACACATCACAGCATTAGCAAATGAGGTTTTTAGGGAAGCTGTGGTGAGCCAGTAGGGGGCATTCCTGCACTGAGCCACCCACCTCACTGTGCCCATCCACCTACCAAGCTCCAAGTGCCTCCCCTGAGGTACCTTCCATCTGGCCAACCCCCTTCCTGGAGCACACCCACAAGCCTGGGGTAACTTCTGCCACCAGCCAGGAGTCTGGTCTGTCTCCGGGCCCTGTGATCCCTGGGATGCACCGGCCTTGTAGACCTTGAGGGTGCTTGACCCACTGCAAGAACTTGGGGTGCTTCCTTTAGTCTGAAGCACAAAGAGTAGCCTCCCTTAGTCAGCTGAGCATAGGAAGCTTAAAGGCATGCCCCAATCCCTCTGCCAGCAAGTCTACCACACTTGTTATAGTGGAGAGCTTTATTGGTTAAATAAGGTAGGCATGGGGAAGGGTACAGGTTAGAGAAGTATTACAGAATAACGCAGAGCAAACCGTGACAGCTTAGTAGCTTTTTGATATGCTTCTACATTACAGTAAACTATATATCTAGATAAATTCCAAGTAGTTTACTTACTTCTGCATCCTGAGAGAGAGAGAAAAAGAGTTACAGATGTTCCAGTTGTTGTATGTAATTTAACATGGCTGCTGCCCCTCCTCCTGGGGAGTCTTAGCTTTATATAGCCCTTTTGACATCACCTTTGATACTCAATCAAAGCCAGGTGTTGTTTGATGCAGCCAAGTTTAAAAGCATCACTGGTCACCTAAGACAGTGACACGGGCTCAAACCTCTGCCCTCAGGCCCTGAGGTCAGTACTAACACAATAGAGAGGTGGGAACCCTCTTACCTGAAGTCCCTCACATCCGCAGTAACCCAGGGCAACCAAATTGACAGACAGGTGAGAAGACAATGGAAAGGAAAAACCTAATAGAAGAGTCTGGGAAGAAACTGGGATGACATTCTTGCACAGAAGCAACATTTAGAAAGGCTATTTTTCCCTTCCTTATTAGAAAATATACTATGGTAGCTACTGAGAAGAATACAGAGATAGAAAGATAGGTGTTTCAAAATGAAGTGTTTCAAATTTTCTTTTCAAAACAACATTTCATTCTGGAATTTACCTAACTAATTTTTAAAGAGTTTGGGAAAAGGGTTGAAAAGCCTGAAATTTTATCTATAACTAAACAAAGCAATTTTGGCCAACTCTGAATAATTTTGTTTTCATTTCTTGGAAAGAAACAGTGCTCAATTCTAATCCACTTTTTCCTCCCTGATTTTTCCTTTTTTTCCAGCAAACCAGAAAATCATTTATTCACACAGTTCTATGTACAATGTAGTTTTCTCAAGAAGCTTTCTAACTGTTCTAAGTAGGACTGAGGAAGCAACTTCAGGATACCATGCCAATTATTTCATATTTCTAGAGTTAAATGTGAATTTATCTTTAAGGTTCTGAAATGCATGCAAATTGTATGCAAGAGAGCACACTCCCAGGACTGGAGGATAAGTTGCTGAGGTCTCAAGAACACTGTTTTTCATGAGCTATTTTCAGTCAGAACCAGAAACAGCATTGTCAGAATTTTCTGAGAAAGCATTTTCTCCTGAAATTTCCTGTCAGTTTTGCAGCTCTGGTATTTTGTACAGCACAGCTACAGTCTGGGGTGTGTGTTTGTCATTTTTTGCCCTTTCTTGCACTGCAATGCATGTAGTATGTGTAGTCATTGAGATTCAAGAGTGTTGGATAAATTTGAGTGGGATTTAGAGAAACATCTGGAATGCTGGATGCTCCCCCAAACTAAAACCTGTGACACTCTTTCATTATTAGCTTGGCAGTAGCCAGTTTTAGCTTATCTGTTCAAGTGGACAGATTCTTTGCTATAGCACTCAGTCTTTTAAGTTTTAGAACACTGGTGTTTTACAGAAATTAATCCAGTTCAATTATTTTTCTTTACTATTTTTTGTTAGTGAAGTTAGAACAAGTGAGCTAATATTTCCTGACGTAAAATCAATTAATTTGTTGAACCAATGAATTATTTGTATTCTGGTAATGCTTAGGGAAGCCTAGTGTATGTTCACATAATGAAAAAGAAGTCCCAAACTGATAATAGTCTTACTTGTTTAGTAATTTGTATGTTCATTAGGTGTTTAATATGAACAAGAAAGTACACATATAAAGGAAAGGGTATTTTCTAAGGAGGATAGGTGTGTGTGGGGGTGTGTGTATGTCACAAACTTGAGCAAATACTAGTTGAAAGCATGTTCACCAGTTGTTCATACTGTAGTCACAAATGCAAAATATCTCCTCCTGTTTCGTAACTTGATTAAAAAAGCAGAGTCACAGAATGCAGATCTGGATTGGGCCTTGAATTCTGAAGCCTATTCTGTCCCTTCCCTCAAGGGTTGAGGACAAGAATGCTACTCTAAGGCTAGGTACAGACATTCAAAAATCCTGAGGTGGAATCGATTAAAGTTGCATGGGTTTCTATAAATAGCATAAGTTAGATTGGTAGTGAACAGAATACACATTTGCCCTTTGGTGGAGAGAAGGCATGCAGGCTGCCTGCACTGGCCAAGAGCAGCAGGTTGGGGGTGCTCCTGCACATCTCCCAGAGTCCCCATGGGCTCCCCAGCCTGTTGGAGAATGCCTAGTGCAGCTGAGCGGTTGGGCCACCCTGATGGCTGCCGTCATGGGCGAGTATTCTCCCCTCCCTCTGCTGCATTGTCAGCTGCACGTAAACAGCATGGGATGTGGGGGAAGGGGGGTGAAGGAGAAGGGAGGCATCTGTGTCCCTGTGTGAACCCTGCCACGGAGCACCCCACAGTGTACACACAGATGTGACACTGAGTACAGGAGAGCCCCCATGAGTGGGCACAGCACCACAGAGCTGAACTGGATTGGTGGGCATGGGCAAGCATTCTCCTTGCCCCCTCGCCCCCC